TACAAAAATGATTTTAGTAGTACAGAATGGTATAGGAGGTCGGGATATCTCAGTGAAACAAGAAAAAGGAATCTACCAGAGGTTATCAATCTGAAGAACTAAAATGAAAAACTTCAGGGTGGATATCTGACCTGAGTTATCTGAACTCACTGTTTCAAGTTCTTATTTTAACTCTGTAGACACAGGGTTGAATAAAATGTGAGAAAGTTAGCTAAGGACTCTCTAAGATTCTATTAAAATTTTCACTGATTTATTTCCTATTATAAAATTTATACAGGCTTCTTGTAGAAGCTTCCAACAGCTCAGAATGCTATAAAGAAAAAGTACTTTTCCTACACTGCTCCCTACTTTTTCTTGCTCTTCCCTCCCCCCCAACTTAACACACACACACACACGGCTCTTGACTTCCACTCCTCAGATATGATCATACGGACAGTTTCGTATAAGATCAAATACTTTGAAAATGGAAAATATTGGTAGACAGTTTATAAAGTTTAGAAAATATTAAAGAAAAATCTAGAATTATTTCATGCCAGTCAGAGCTGGTGAAATCTCAAATTCCCTTGGGACAACATAATGAACAATTTCTGGGTGAGGGAACTGAAACAACAATCCTGTAAACAAACTGTCCAGAGTGCATGGCTGGAGCTGGCCTAGAGTGAAGATGGAAAAAAGCCTTCAAGGAACACCACCTCCTCCTCGTGGTTAACAACTTGATGACGTTTTCAACATGTTTTAATGATTATCATACCTTCCCCTGCACAAAGCATTGATTTATTATGGTATAAATTTAAAGAATACTGGTTTCCCAGTTCTGAATCAGGCTTAGATTACAGAACACATAAAATCAATGACTTTGTTCTAGGCAAAAAAACCCTAGAAAACAAAACCCACAACGAACCCCACAGTGTTCATTTACGTGCAAAAGGAACAGTTCTGGGGAAAAGCTCTTCACACATTCTACATGCTGACTGTATCCACTACCCTCCTCACCACCTATACACCTCCCCCATCCGTCATCAGCAACCCCCACACCTAACATTTCTACGGCACCTTAAAGTTCACAAACTTCACTTGCCATTTATTTTAATCCTCAAATAAATTTGTCAGGTAGAAAGAACATTCTTAGCTTTTCAATTTACAGATTTAAAATACTCAGATGCTCAAAGCGTTAAAGTGATTGGCCCATGATCGTTCCCCAGAAAATGAATGTTTAAGTGTCTGTGTCTCTATTTCTGCTTTGCAAATAAGATCATCTATACCACTTTTCTAGATTCCACATATATGCAGTAATATATGATATATATGAATACCAAGGGGAAGGAGGGTGGGAGGAATTGGGAGATTGGGACTGACACATACACATTATTGATATAAAATAACTAACTAATGAGAACCTGTAGGGCACTGGGAACTCTCCTCAGTGCTCTGTGGTGACCTAAATGGGAAAGAAATCCAAAAAAGAGGAGATACATGTATCCATATAGCTGATTCACTTTGCTTTACAGTAGAAACTATCACAACACTGTAAAGCAACTACACTCCAATAAAAATTAATTTTAAAAAAAAGTACGCTCGCCTTGGGTATACCGATGACGTCTGGATGTCTATCTCCATCTCAGGGCTCTCCTCTCAAGATTCCACATGCAATCACTGCCTCAATGTCTGTACTTTGAGTTCAAATGTGGTTAAATTAGTTTTCCAGGCTCAGGAAATAATATTTTCCCAAATCTGTTCTTTTTCAATGGTTTTATTTCCCAATCAATGGCACAATTATCCTTCTAGTTGTTCAAACCCCAAACCTAGGAATCATCCCTACCCACCACTCTTTTATCAAGACGCACACAGACTCCATCACCACATCCTACAGATTCTGCCTTCTAAACATTCCTCAAACTGATTCACTTCTTCTTGCCTTCACCATGAACACTAGTTCATGACCCCTGCATTGCACCTAACAATCATTTCAATGTTATACTCTGTCTTTTGCTCACTACCACAGTCTACCCATTTTCCACCCTGCAGCCAGAATTATCATGTAATTCCTCTGCTTAAAATCTTTTGTTGGCTTCCCAGTGCTCTTCAGATAAACAGAAGAATCCTTAATGTGGCCTATAAGGGCCAATATAATCAGAACCCTGTAAACTGGCATGATAAACGAGCTCTTTCCATAATTTCAGAATACTGTGATGTCTTTTAACTAATAAATAAATATTTAAGCTTTTGCTTTTTTCACAACATGTAAAATTTAGTAACTTAAGTGTATTGATTATTGTTAAATGAAGTTTGTATTTGTGGACTTTTTTTTAAAGCATTAGTAACATACAATCAGGCTTCCCAGATGGCTTGGTGGTAAAGAATGTGCCCATCAATACAGGAGACTTGGGTTTGATCCTTGGGTCAGGAAGATATCCTAGAGAAGGAAATGGCAACCCACTCCAGTATTCTTGCCTGGGAAATCCCATGGACAGAGGAGCCCAGCAGGCTACAGTCCATGGGGTCTCAAAGAGTCAGACACGACTAAGTGACTAAACAACACAACACATAATCATATGTAAATCTTATTGATCTTTCTGAAATTGTTCCTTAAATATAACCAAATTCATATTATTGTGATAATATATGCATTAAAATAATGTACAAATAAATGTAATGAAAAATATATTATTTACATAATATTTGTAAATTATATCATTCATTTCATTGTGTGTAATTTCTAATTGCTTCAAGTCTTTGGATAGCTAGAGAAAGAGGTATGGACATTTCTCCCACATTGTATGAATCACTCAGCTCAGAGTTTAAAAAAAACATCAGCTTCATGGGTGTGTGACTTGTGCAGTTGCCCAGAGCCTGCACTTAGAGGAGCCCTGTGCTTGGTTTATTGCTCCATAATTTTTTGTGTGCATGCTCAGTCGTGTTTGACTCTGAAATCCCATGGACTGTAGCCCACCAGGCTCCTCTGTCCATGAAATTTTTCAGGTAAGAATACTGGAGTGGGCTGCTATTTTCCTCTTCCAGGGGATCTTCCCAACCCAGGGATCAAACCAGTCTCTTGCATCTCCTGCATTGGCAGGCAGATTCTTTACCACTAGCCCCACCTGGGACACTACGGTCTTGAAATTGTTTTTTTTTTTTTCCTATTTTTTTTTGTCCTTACCATGCCAGTATGGAGGATCTTAGTTCCCTGACCAGGGATAGAACCCATGCCCCTTGCAGTGAAAGCATAGTGTTTTAACCACTGGACTGCCAGGGAAGTCCCTTGAAATTCTTAATTTTTAAAAATTAATTAATTTATTTTAATTGGAGGCTAATTACTTTACAATATTGTAGTGGTTTTGCCATACATTGACATGAATCAGCCATGGGTGTATATATGTTCCCCATCCTGACCCCCCTCCCACCTCCCTCCCCATCCCATCCCTCAGGGTCATCCCAGTGCACTGGCCCTGAGCACCCGGTCTCATGCATCGAACCTGGACTGACGATCTGTTTCATATATGATAATACACATGTTTCAATGCTATTCTCTCAAATCATCCCACCCTTGCCTTCTCCAACAGAGTCCAAAAGGAAATTCTTAATTTTTGAACGTTTTCATTTTGCTCTGGGTTCCACAGATTATCTAGCCTGTTCCTGCTAAAAGCATTTTTTTAATGTATTGAGAGTTGAACTCTCTCATGTCATCCAGGACCAAAGTATTTATTGCACTCTATTTCTGTATTTCATGAGCTCAACAGGAGAAGAACACCGAGGACTACCAGTGTCAGAACCGTCACTCAATGGGAAAATCTATATATTCTGTGGTTATTCATTGATTTCAGACCAATAAAACATGAGCTTATGCTAAATAAATGAGATTTCTAAATACAGTAAAACCTGGTTAACAATTTTGGCTAATGAGTGAGACAACGTCAATGGAAGTTTAATGGGGAACATGCCTTGAATTTAGCTGTTACTTGGAAGATCCCCTGGAGAAGGGAAAGGCTACCCACTCCAGTATTCTGGCTTGGAGAATTCCATGGACTGTATAGTCCACGGGGTCACAAAGAGTCGGACACGACTGAGCGACTTTCACTTTCACTTTTTGAGATAAGTACTGACCTAGATTAAAAGGGATAACTGGAAAAAAAACAAGTATAACCAACATTACTTTACCAAATCATGTGACAGCCATATTAGGAATATTTTTATGCTTTATAAAAAGTTCTTCAATACTTTTGTACTAGGCAAAATGAAGAACTGAACCCCTATGGAAAAATGCCTGCATGTGAAAAATGGTTCCCTAGTTGGTGCTTCCAGAATTACACTTTTGATTGCAGGCAAGCAAAATGACAGTGGGAGAAAAGTTTGTGATGCTCTAGTAAAAGATGCTCATTTTAAGTCACATGATGTGCTACTTTTATCTTATCAAAGTGGAAAGGCTGCTGACATATGTGAGTTACTGTTAAAAATTATTATTGCTATTTCATGTCAAAAGTGAATGATCCTAGAAGAGTTAATTTAGTACTTACCCTAATTAACTTAGGTAAATTTAAAAATTACTATCTATGTAAGATTTAAATTTTAGGCTGATAACTTTCTTTCATAAACTCAAAATGTATTTAGACTATGAAAATTTCAACTTTGAGAAAGTTATACTTCTGAGATAAAAATTAAGTAATAACAGTTTCTAGAAATTCCTATTAGTGATAAAGGTTAAACATTCAGGTATAATGGCATGTTCTTCAAGAAGAATTATTTTGGTGTCAGACTTGGGTTCGGGGTCTGCTTTGCTCTTTATTATGTGACTCTGGGCAATTTACTTGATCTTTTTAAATTATATTTTAGTTTCTGAATTCAAAATAAAGATAACAATACTCAATGAACAAGGCTGATGTGAGGATCAAACTAGGTAACAGATGAGAGAGTTCAGCACAGTAACTTGGAGGGATAAACACTCTATGTAGCTACCATCATTGATAGGATTTTTCCTCCAGGATTTTAACCTATGAAATGGTTACCTGATTGACAGGAATAATGTTTTTGACATTGAAGTAGAAGCCAAAATAAACCATATTGAAAACTCCATGACGTCCCAAAGTTGCTGTAAATCCTTTGTTGAGGCCTCGGAGTCCCAAACCTTCCTTCTTAATGATGTGCCTTGCATAACTCATGGTGGATGGTTGCTGCAGGAGAGAGGAGCAAAGCCAGAAAGGTCATCTTTGGGACCGTGAAACAGGGCAAATAACCATTTCAGCTTCCCTTCAAGCCCAGAATTTTTAGGGACCTCCTCCTCCAAACATGAATTATCATGCCTAGATTCATGCTTTTTAAAATTAGGAAACCCCAAATGTAAATAAAATTGCATGCATGACAACAGGACTTAAAAGGAAGATTGTTGGCAAAGAAAAAATACCTTTGGTGGAATTAGTGAAACTAATGTCAGATAATGACTAGCATCATTTTCAACATGTCAATAGTTGCATCCAATTCTGGATCATCCACACTAATGGAGGGGATTAACCATGTAGATAAACTAGAAATCCATAACCGTGCATAATCCAAAAGGAATGTATATTTGGCTCCTGAATCCAGTATATTTACCTTCCTAATTATGTTTTTCTAAAGCAAATGTTACAGTTAGTCTTGATTCTATTGCCTCAATAGTTTGGCGTTAGGTTAGAAATCAGTCATGGATAAATAGTAGTTGATTGTAGACTTCCTCAAGAAAGTGGGCAATCAGTGTGTGTAACACTTGCTGTGATAAATGATAAATCAATGGTGTTGAGAGGACTGGGTTACTTTTAATTTACTTCTTTCTAGCCTTTGATTGATTACCCAAGGTTGAAATACCTTGACTGCTAGAACCCAGTCTATGCTTCTTTTGGAAATTGCTAAAGAAATCACTGCAGTTTGCCCTGAGGTTTATAATTCATTACAATACAATTACAACACTTCACATAAGTTTTAAAATAAGTTTGAGTGACTGCTTCCTTTTTTGGAGGTACAGCACAAAGGATATCTCTCCCTCTTAAATTTTGAATACTGAATAGCAAATAAGGGGAAATGTTCAGCGTTTAATTTTTTTTTTTTCCCTACAAGGCAAGCACTGACATGACATTTGTTTGAAATTTCACTGGAGCAGGTTGCTGGAGTGGTCACGGCAGTCTGATGCACTTACTGACTAAAAGTGTTTTCTTACATGTGCAATTAAGGCTGTGTCAGCCAAACAGAACAGGACAAATTCAATCAAGGCTTTTCATCCAACTCGTATTTGTAGCTTAGGTAATTAACCTGATACATTTAAATGAGTTTGTTTATAGAGTAAAATCCTATAGCTTTTACTGGTAAATGTTTTAAAAACTCTAGCTACAATTCTACACTCAACTTCTTTTCATTTAAGAGGATTAATGACAATATATTAATCCTAAGAAAGCCCTTTTTTTGTGACATGAAGAAAAAACAACAACATAGGAACATATCTTAAAACAATAAAAGACATTTCATAGAGGAAAACCAAAAATCTCAGAAGGTTAAAATTCATTCTCTCTGCTACAAAATGAGATTGTGTTGTTGTTGTTGTTGTTTGTGTTCTGGCACATTAACTATCAACTTAAATTATTGATTTTGGTTTTCAAAGGAGACTTGAAGACAAGTTGAGCCACAATTCATTTCTGTTGGAAAGACTGCGAAGGTGCTGAGCAGGCTTCTGGGCACTGTGTTTGTGCTCTGAGAAATGCAGCCTAGAGGGCTGAGGAAAGGAAAGAGGCAGTTCTCCTGGGGATGGGAGAAACAGGGCAGAAGTGAGGCTGCCTGGGTCCAGACTGGCCAACACCAGTTCTTCCTGCTTCTGGCCTAAGCTTTCTCTCCATCCTCACCCACTCTCAGTATCTGAGAGCAGGAGAGATGGGGAGCGTAGAGATCATCTAGATTCTTCAGCAACAGAGGAACCAATGGCTTTAATTGAAAGCACAGATTAACATGTTTTCTAAGATCATGGCATCCAGGCCCATCACTTCATGGCAAATAGATGGGGGGAAAAGTGTAAGCAGTGACAGATTTTATTTTCTTGGGCTCCAGAATCACTGCAGATGGTTACCAAAGCCACAAAATTAAAAGATGCTTGCTTGGAAGGAAAGTAATGACAAACCTAGATAGCATATTAAAAAGCAGAGACATCACTTTGCCAACAAAGGTCCATATAGTCAATGCTATGATTTTTCCAGTAGTCATGGATGGATGTGAGAATTGGACCGTAAAGAAGGCTGAGAACCAAAGAATTGATGCCTTCAAACTGTGGTGCTGGAGAAGACTCTTGAGAGTCCCTTGGACTGCAAGGAGATCCAACCAGTAAATCCTAAAGGAAATCAACCTTGAATATTTATTGGAAGGACTGATGCTGAAGCTGAAGCTCTAATAACTTTGGCTACCTGATGCAAAGAGCCGACTCACTGGAAAAGACCCTGATGATGGGAAAGATTGAAGGCAAAAGGAGAAGAGGGTGGCAGAGGATGAGATGGTTAGATAGCATTACCACCTCAACGGACACCAATCTGGGCAAACTTTGGGAAACAGTGAAGGAAAGGAAGCCTGGTGTGCTGCAGTCCATGGAGTCAAAAAGAGTCAGACACAACTTAGTGACTGAAAAACAACAAAGATGTTTTTAATCATTTTAAACTCTAGTGTGCTAAACCATCAAAATTAAAAGAGAGGACTTTTATCAGATCTTTTTTTAATGAATTTTTATTGGAGTAGAGTTGATTTACAATATTGTGCTAGTTTCTGTTACACAGCAAAGTGAACAAACAATACATATATCCACTCCTTTTTAGATTCTTTTCCCATTAGGTCATTACTGAGTACTGAGTGGAGTTCCCAGTGCTATACAGTAGGTTCTTATTATCTATTTTATAAACAGTAATGTCTATATGTCAATCCAAATAACATTTACTGACCGCTAACTGCCTGATTCCCACCAATTTGGGTGTTAGGTGGACATGGGAAAATGTAACACATGGATTTTGACTCAAGTGCTTTGCTGAATTTGAGCTCAGTTGTGAATAATTAAGCAAATCAGTGGGCGGTACTGTAGTTAGAAATAGGGGTCAGGGCCAGACAGTCCCAGCTTTGAGCCCCAGCAATACCATTTGCCAGGTTAAGCAGGTATTTTATTCTCTGGTTTATTCTCACTTTACTCATCTGTAAAATAAGGATAATAATAGAATCATCCTCATAGGATTGTTGGGATGATAAATAAGTCAAAGAACTTTGCCCTGTATAAGCATTTACTATACATTAGCTGTTAATAATAATGGCAATTATGATGATAGTAATAAAACTAGTTATCATAGTAAAATAACAGGTAATTCCTTTTGGTGGCTGAAGACAGTGACAATCAAAAGGTGGAGGCTGATGTGAGGGAGGGGAAGCTAGCTTCTTCATGCTCATTCCTTCTGGCTGTTGTTTCCTTTGGCAGAGCCCTGAACCTTTGTGAGAAAGTCCTACAGAAACGTATCCAGAGTGCAAGATCATAGGACTGCTTCCTCTGAGACCCAACCATACCTATTCCTGGGCTAGAGATCTCTTTCGAGGGATAGTTCCTCAACCCAGGAAGCAGAAGATCCTGTAAACTGGTCTCTTCCCTACCACTTGGTAAACATCCTCAGTAAGAACTGTCCCCTGGACAGGTCTATGGACAGTAGAAGCAAGGCCATCACACGGGCGCAGACTCTGAGAATGAAGAAGCGCACCGACTGGTCCTCCACCTCCCATAATGTACTTACACCCTAGAGGGCACATACATGCAGGTTACCACATACCCGCAACACAAGAATTGCTCATTAGTGGCAGCCATTATCATAGATGCTTGATACTTTACATATATCATCTTACTTAATCCTTTTAACAAGTGTATGGGGTGGGTATTATCATTACTTCCACTTAACAGATGAGGAAATTAAGCTACTTGCTCAAGATCACAGAATAAGTGGAGGTACCAGAGCTCAAACTGAAGCCCTGCAGACTCAAAGTTCATGTTTTAATACTCTGCATGGTTTTGTCATCTGAACATATCTGGTTGCCCCTCTTAACAACCTGTAAGATGGGCAGCAGGTATGTTCTCTATTTTACAGGTGAGAAACCAAGGATTGAGTAATATTTTAAGGGGAAAGGACTGAAAAATGGCTTAAGCAGAATTCTACATCTCAACCAATGATTCTGTCATCCTCATTGACTCATTCTTATTATACATATGCTGTAAGGTTTTCAGAGTTTGCTAATCCAACTGATGCAGGTAAGAGATAAAATACAAATATATATTTCTGGCAACTTGGGACCTTGAGATAAAGAAAAATTTAAATTCTAATTCTCATAAGAATTAGAAGTGCCCTTTTTGCTTCATTCAGAAACATTGTATCACACATGTAAGCAAATACTTAATTAGAAAGGCAAAATCTGACTTCCACTAGGATGCTTAAATAGGAAAATACAGAATCATTTTGACTAGATCTCTGTAAACACAAGGAATTTTACTAAACTTATTTGATTACTGGGCTTCCATTTCAAAACAAAATGGTGACTGATTAGCATCATCAGCCAAATGATTCCAATACTATCCAACCCAGAAGGTCACCCACCAATTCGGTTTCCTCCTAATATTTAGATTCACTACAATTTTCATATTTAGTTACCAGCTGTGGGCCAAATTGCATTCTAAGTTTCCTAGATATACTTTTCATTGACTGCACCAGACTGCAAGTGTGGAAGAATAAGTGAGTCAGAATGTAGCTAATATTACCATATCACACTGCTCTCCACATTGGTTTAGAAAAATCTTCAGTTCATTGGTTACCTGTCAGAAGTATTTCCATTTGAAGGAACTCAGAGACTAACTCTGATGTCAGCTATTGCTAGTTGCTAATTCTGGGAACTCCCTGTTCTTCCATGCATTCATTTATTTAACAAGCACCTATAGAGCACTACAAGGTACCGTGCACTGTGTCAACTATCTAGTATGGCACTTTGCTCATATTCTAGAAGTAAAAATATTTTTATATTGCTTTTTATTTGGAGATATATACTGAAAATATTATATCTATCCATGAGAATATTCTATAATGATTATGAACTATGAAATTTAATTTCAGTAATTGGTGCAATACTATGAAAAACAGTATGGAGTTTCCTC